TGATTGAATCAGAGAAAATACCAACATTGGTGAGAGTGCAGGTGCAATGGGAGGGGAACAGTAATATGATAACCATAGCCATAAGAGCAGGAGGTTTTTGTATTGAGAAGCAGCAATAGGAAACACTGTGTAGACTAGCAGCACAGAAGTAAACAGCACTGCTGCTTATGTTTAGTCCTTCAATTATTAATGTGCAGTTTCGACCTTTGGTTGCTTCCCCTTTTATTTTCACATTCACGTCTTTCTCTGGAGTTCCAGTGCCTCCATACAAGTACCCCAGGAGCTGCAAGTCATTGGTGGATTGTTTGTACCACAGGATTCGGTTGAAGGAATCATCAGTATGTGAGCAATTGATTTCAGCGTTTTCAGAAGGAAATTTGTGAAGCTCCTCTGGATACTGTTGGATTTTGTCACTTTTGGAGGAAACTGCGTAAGAAAAGGAACAAAGCATCATTAACATCAGCAAAAAGACAATTGTGTAAAGAATTGTAAACATACTTGTCATTTGTTATAAATTAGTTACTAGGGCTGAAAAATGAAACCCAGTAAATTGAATCCTCCTGAAGACATTACCTGAAATTAGGAAAGTAATACAACTAAAGCAAATACAAAAGACCTTCATCTTCCTGAAAACCTTTGGAAAGCTAAATAATTATTTTGGTACAAACTAAACAAAGACAGTCTGCTGCTTCTTCATTGCATCTGAGGCTCTAATGCTTTGGTTGGATCCTTGTAAAACTCATCATTACAGGGTGGTTTTAAAGTGGATCCTCCCCATCTCTATCTAAACCTCCACAGTTTATAGTTCAGAGTGAAGACATGCTGCCTCCTATGAAATATAAATAAGTGGGACCTTACTGGATGGATCTATGTGTTGATTTACAATAAAACACCATAAGATGTGTATTAGCCAACAATTAATCTCTAGCCCATTGGTTTGACTGTGATGTTTCTAAGAAGTTAATTTAAAATTCTGTTGTCAGCACAATTTTGTGTAAAGTTAACAATTTTTTTTTTTTTTTTTGCTGTTTTGTTTTATTTTCTCTATTTGTGTACTTTTTCTCTCTCCTCTTAGTTCTTATACCCTCTTTCTTGCTCACCTCTCTTTCCGTCTCTGTGTTCGTTTTATTCCAGTTTTATCTACAATAAGGTTTTATCATTGTGGAACCTTATGGTGGCAGTCATAATGGTCGGCTTGTGAAAGCAAAACTGTTGGGCGATCATCTAGCTCTGGGAAATCTATTCCCAAAACTATAGTAACAAAACAGGAGGCTAAAAAAATTTATAAAATAAAATAAAATAAAAATGATTGTTTCAGTTTTAAATGATTGTATCTAGGTAAAAGAGAATAATCAATCTATTGCTAATTATATTTATTAATGATTATTTATTCGATTGACAAGACATAATGAAACAAACATTTCCCGCTATATAGTTAAAGAGAAATGACAAAAAATTGAAGGTGAGGTTATTATCAACTGGTAGTGCTTTATATAATCAAATGCTTTATCCATCTGAAAAATGCACTTAATGTTTTTCTTTTCATAATAGTTTGGACTTTCTTAAGTCATTGACTTTGGGAAGGCTTAGAAGAATTGATAAATAGGTGAATGTAGAACAGACAGAAGGGCACGTACATCCTAATATGAGTCATCCTAATATTTCATGACTTTCTACTTTTTTCCTGGGTGTCACTTAATTCCATTTTATAAAAAATCACATTATCAGTGGGGTTAGACCCATTATTGTGCTTTTTCTGTTTTCTTCACAAAGCACTTGGACAGGTATGAGGAAGAATATATATGCGTAGCAAGTCTAGATAAGGTTTTCACCACCTCAGGCCAACTTACTTATTCAAGATCTACTACTGAACATGCATTCATTTAAGTTTTGAAACTAAGCATTTTACTCCTCATTTGTTTTACCATTATTTTTACATGCTTCTCTAAACAAACTTTTTTCATACAGTTTCATAATAACTACATTATTACAACCTGCATAGTCATGGTCAGCTATAGACGGGGGCCAACAAAGGCCCGTGCCCCTGTAGAACTGGTTTTGGCCCCTGCTATGGCCCCTGTTCTAAAGACATAACACTAAATAAATGTATATATAAATATGCAGTAGCTCAGACACCATACAGTAACTGATTGGTTCCTTGCACAATTATTTTTGGCTTTATAGTTATTAAAGTCAAACCTCTGAAAGTACTTTAAGTATGAAATCATTACATACTATTCAATAAATTGTTTAGACTTTTTAATGAAGAGTCATTTAATTTGAATGTGCTTTACCGGAGACATCCATGTTTGTCAAAGAGCACTACTACCACCTACCAGTTTGTGACGTCACAGTGCGGTATCGGCTGTTGAGCAAGAACCAGTGTTGTATCTGGTGTTTGTTACAACACGCTGTTATCAATGATGGCGACAATCAGTGCACGATGCGAATCAGAGATTAACGGATTAATAACGTGTTATTTTCTCTTGCTAGAAGATGTATTACAGCATCCAATGCCATCATGTGGGCATTGTCAGTTTAATTAAAGCTCTCAAGATGTGTGTCCTCTCAAAATCTTAAATAATTGTTGTTGATTGCAGATGTGTCTAGTAGTTCCCATTGATTTTGCTTGTAAAGCGGGGAAAATAGCGCTAGGCTTACCGCACCGTGACATCACTGCCGGAGATGTCAGGAGTGAGGTGTTACTATATTTGGGCAAAAATGGCCGGTCCCTGACTCAGTGATCGCGACCCAAAATACTGTTTTTATTTTTTTACTGATTAATGCTAATTTCATTAAATTATGTATTAAATTACAAATGTATTGTTACCCATTGGATATTCCTTGCTGACGTGACTTTTCCTTTAATTGGTTTTACTCAGGTTCTAATTCTGAATTGAATAAAACTAATTATTTTCATTTCCAATCGGTCAGAATTATGTGCTATTGCTGAATCTTAAAAGTACATTGAAAAAACTTTCCATCTTTCATTTATATGTACATTTATTCAAACAAAATATTTTTGTAAAACCAATTTATCCATCTTTAGTCTATTATTATTTTCTGACCATAAACAGGACTTGCATCATAAATATCCTTTCAAGTCTTACAATTATAATAATCCTTTAACTGTTCTTTTAAATAATATAAAACGTTCAGTTTGTGATGTTGTGCAGCAGTAAACAACAGTTGCTTAAAACATTTATTCAGTTTCTTTTAGCATAGTAAGGGGTTTTCAATTTTAGTTAAAGTGTAATTAACAGTTTTAAAACACAAGTACTTATTTTTTAACAACTGTAAATTTGAATCTGACCAAAATAGGTGGACATTTCACGTCCTTCAGTTTAGAGCTGCAAGTGGGTCTATGCTTCCACGGCTAACTTATTATATATAATAAGATAAACTACTGTTTTGTTTTTTTTATACAGTTTTCTGTGCCCCCCTTGAAAAACAGTGAGGTGAAATTAATCTAGAACCACCACTATTGGGAGTGCAGGCTGTTCATTGTAAAGTTATAAGTTCAACCTTATAACAATAAAAGATCTTAAAAAGTCTTTCTCCCAACTTACAATGATGCATTACTTAAAGTTCAACTATTAGTGACATTAGTAAAATAAACTCTTTATCTTGTCATGTGATACATCATAAAAAGGTTCTTAGGGTGTGAAAAATGTTCTGTAACTGATTATGTCTTTTCTAAAATTTAGTTTTGCCACCACATTTAGAGGTTCATTTAGTGTAATTTTGTCATAATAAAAAAATTGTTTTAAGCTCCAATACTTTGAGACAATAGTTAGATAATGCCAATGGGTTTACAGGATACTAAAAATTTAATGGTGTTTTTTCAAAAGCTTAATCTTGATAAAGCATAACTGATCTTACTTTTAATATTTTTGTTATGAAAATTAAGTTTTTTCCAAATAGGAGATTTGGAGAAATGCAAAATGTTGCTTTGGAACCTTTCTTTTCTTTTGCAGTGTTATCTAATAAAACAGAAATCTCCTTGATGAATGAAAGCCAAGTAAATATTTGTGGTAGAAGATAAGAAGTTAGAGGCGTGCCAAGAGCACAGAGGTTTTTCTTCAGGCTTTTATGTTGTTTGTATCACTGTGCTCACTTACAGCACCGAAATAAATCCCTTTATCGCCTGGCACCAATTTTTTCACTGTTAATGTCCCACTGAGAGCATCAGGCTTGGTGGCTGCAAATTTTTTCCTTTGAATTCGGCCTCAAAATCAGGTTTGGAGTTTGCAAGGGTAAAAACTATTTGTTTCATGGCTTCTCCTGGCAGCTGTCTGTACCAGTACATCTGGTAATAGCTAGAACCCTTGGAGTGTCTGCATTCAAATGTTGCATCTGAATTCTGGTTTACCCACAGCATGGGTGGCTGTTGGACGTCATTCTCAGCAGTTAGGCCTAATTATAAGGGGGGGGAAAGGTACAGGGTGATCAGTTACAGCTTTTGATTAAGATTGTAAAATAAAGAAATGAGAAATAAATATTTTAGCATCAAACAAATGTATTTAATCTATAATAATATGTATAAAAGTGGAAAATCACCAGTGGTCCACAGCAAAGAGAGTACTAATATGATGAATCCTTGTTTGATGGTGACATCCGTGTTCTGTGGAAGAAAATGCTGAGGTTTAAAAAGCGTGCAGAGTAAATAAAGATGGGAGTGTCGGTGCAAATTGAAGCACAGATGGCAAAAAAGTGACAATGTTGCTCCCCCTACAGGCAACAAAGGTATGATCTACAAGTATACCTTGATTAAAATAAACATTCCCACAATGCACAATGTGGGTGTGTACTTTATGTTGAAAATCCGTATAAGAAACAATATTATAGTAAAATATCATGAGTAAAATAATTTTACTCATGATTATCGAAGTATGTATATAAAAGTTTAAAGAGACTTTCAGAAAAACTGACAGTTTTTTCTCAATTTAATTTAATTCAATGGCTGATTATCTATTAAACTCTTAATAGAGACTTTGGATTTACAAAGTTCTTATTGATCAATGGTTAGCCAACCCAGACAGAAACTAGATGGGGTTTTTTTTACATGGAAGCTGGCTGCAGGTGTTTAGATCTTTATCTTTCCTCAGAGTTTTTGTATTACTTAGGAGGGTTCTGTTGTACCGTGTCTGCTGGCAGCACAGAAATAAACTGCACTGTCATCTTCTGAAAGATTACCAATATTCAGGGTCGAATGTTTGCTGCCGTCTCCAACAAAGCTGATCCTGTCTTTCACGTCGTCCTCTGGGAAAAGAAAGTCTCTGTTCAGGTATCCAAGGAACCGGAAAGCTCCATGTTTGTTTTGTTTGAACCAAAGGATATGCTCAAAAGCTGGTACACTGTGTGAACAGTGAATCTCATTGAGAACAGATTCAGCAGGTTTTTTAATGATGGTATGGGGTGTTTGGAAGATCTTGTAAGCTTCAGAAGCTCCTGTTGGCAAACGAAATAAATTTACCCATTGGTAAATCAGTATTAATAATTATTCATTGTCTGATTTTCTCAGGAATACTCACCATAATTATCTGGTAGTTGAGAAAGAACCAATAAATAGATCAGTGAGATCCTGTTCAACATGAGATGAAAGTTCCTCTCCATTGCTGTGGCCTACAGTTCATCACTAGTCGCATGAATCTGTGGAGGTGTCATATATAAAGGAGTTAATTTCTTTCCTTTTTATTATTTAAAGTTTGAGGATTTGTCTCCCCCTAGTGGTGGTCAAAATTCCTGCTGAATTTGTTTTGTTTTTGATGTTTTTTTTTTTTTTTAGCAACTGCAAACCTTTACCTTTGAAGGTAAAGGTCTCTGATTTGCTTTAACTCAGCTGTTAATATGCTGTCATTTGTCTGCACTTTCTTTATCATTCTTTATGTCTCATATTCATTCTCCCTTTTAACTTTTTAACTCTCCTCATAGAATTAGAGGATTATGCTCAAAGGTTCAAAATAAAAAATAAAAAAAACAATAAAAAAACTGAAGGCCATTAACTATTTTATGGTAATCTGACCAAAGGACTCTGCTCTACAGATCTTGTAGTTTACTAAGATGTAACTTTGCAATATCCAGCAAATTTACAACCTCTTCTATTTACAGCTCATCTATTTTTTGGTTTCAATAATTGTGATGATTCATAAATAACAAATATTTATGATTCTTTTCAAAGAAAAGTATTTTAAGTGAAATCTTTTTTTTTTCAGTTCCTGGATTCTGCAGTGAAATATTTAGAGAATTTTTGAATCAGTAAGTGGTTAATTTACTGTATGACATACATTCTTTGTTTAGATTGTGGCAGGTGGTTGTGAAACAATCAGATGAAGGAGGTTTTTGCATTGACTCTAACTTACATTCAGCACTGTGCCAAGCTGGCAGCACAGAAATAGACAGCACAGTCATCCAGAGTAAGATCAGAAATAGTTAAGCTAGATTGATTTTTGCCATCTCCATCAAATTTGATTTTTCTTTTCACATCATCTTCAATTTTATGAAAATCATTATTCAGATATCCAAGCAGCTTCAGAGCATTGCGCTTGTCTTGTTTGTACCACAGAATAACTTGATAACTCGGTATGCTGTGTGAACATTTGATATCTCCGTCCACAGATTTACCAACTGTCTTAATCATGAAAGCATGAGTTTGGCTGACATGTTTTGAGTCAGAGGCACCTGTGGAGAGGTAAAAAAATATTTTAAAATTGAGACTCTTTTACAGTATCTTTAAATCTTTTCTGAAATATTAATTAGTCCTCTAACCATTATTTCCATTGAAACTAAATAAAATAAGAATGCAGAGCAAAAAGCGCATGGTAGCAATGTTGAGATTGAATCCCCTGAAGGCAGCTCGCTTCTCATATCCTGCTTGCTCAGCACCAGCAGGGAGGAGAAATGCAGCAGTGTTTGAAAAACAAGGGGAGAGACTACAGTACATGGTGGTTTTAAGATTGTGTGATTTAAGTGCCCACAATGAAAGAAGCAGTTTTTTTTATTTTCACTCTAATAAAGTTTATTATATAAATCAGATAGTAATATCTCTGTAATAATATATATATATATGTGTATATATGTATATATATGCTTTTTCAAGAAATTTATTTTTCAACTAAATGTATCAGATTTTATTTCTTTGCATGAAACAGCAGTAATCTAGATTATTCATATGATATCTTTATATACATTACATACATTGGTTATTAGTGAAAGATGCCACGCCAGCGGGTGTCTATTTTAAGCATTTGTTGATGCGGGATACCAATAAGGACAGGTCAAACAGGCACAGTCATTCATCAGGGATATGAAGAGAGACTGAATAAACTTGCAGCTGTGTTTTTTGTGTCCAGGAGGAAGCCTAAGTACTTGAAGAAATCTCCAGGGGAGAAATTGCAACCAAATACTTGACACATTAAACAGGGCAGAAAGTGACTTGATTGTGGTGGCCCCGGTCCTTAAGACCAGATCTGCTTGTACACCTCTGAATTTTCCAACTTGGTTTCTAACACTAACAACAAACTCTAAAGTGGTCAAATATAAATATCCTATTATGGAGCAGCTGCCTGTGAACTGGTATTTAATTGATCTCTCTGTAAGGAATGGTAAAGGGCATTAAACAACTGCTTGGTAGCCTTTAATACAACAATTTCTGTTGTATGTTTTCATTATTAGTGTGTGGTATCAACCAATTCCTTCTGTTTTGTAACATTTCTACATGTTTTGTAGCACACTGTCTTTCCCTTTTGGTTTTGAAGGTTTTTGCACAAGAATCAGCTTAAAGCTAAACGCCTACAATGCTGTTTTGGCTCCTGCACCATCAGCAAATTCATGACACCATGAAGCAGCATCTACTGGAAAATCAAAAGGAGGGTTAAAATATTACACACTTGCAACACATAATCTGACAAAGTGCAGAAATATCCAAAACTGTCATTACACCGTTTCTTTTGAAGTATTTGAACTTAGGGCTCTTTGCCTAATGCCAATTAGAGTGTGATAGCTGGTGGATATCTTAACTGTTCCAACTTTGTTTGTGTTTTTTTGTTTTGTTTTTTTTATAGAAAAAAAAATAAAATGTTTATTATTACTGTATCCTGGTCAAAGCCCTGTGCTGTGTGTCACATTTTGTTTAATTATTTTAGTCATGCAAGTGTTCATACCTCAAGAGGTTGTTTTTTTCCTGGGCATAGTAAGTACAGTAACATAGCTGGGTAAGTAAAATAGAAGGATAAATATTTTTGCCCTGTTAATGAGCATAGCAAAAGTTGTGAATGGAGAGTGTCGGTTAGATTTCCTCGAATATCATTGCCAGTTGTCGCTGTCAATCTATCTGCCATTCACAGCTGAGACCATGCCCAGCTCTTACCCACCCTTATGTCCCTTGATATGCCAGGCTTCAAATATTAGATGTAGGCAGAGAAGTCTAGAACGGAGTTGAGCTGTAATTTAAGTAGAAGAGGAACCAGCAGCAATCCAAAACATATCAGTAAATCGAACAAGAAGTGACCGCCATTAAAGCACTATTAAAGAACTTTCAGGTTTGCTCTATTTTGGCTCCTCCTAGGAGAGAAGACCCCATTTCCCATGAGGAGCAGCATATTGTGTTGAAAAATCCTGATCTCAGTCACCTGCAGTTGAACTGAGAAACTTTTCTGTTTCCTGTGGCTCTGTGAAAGATGAATAGTGATGAGGTAATGAATGTAACTGTGCTGAAACAATATCATATGACGATGTTGAACATAAGAAACGTTTCATTTTAGTTTTGTACCGTATTTCTGCAACACCCCTCATCAGCAGCTAATGTACTGACAAGTTTAGCGCCCTGAAACATATAAATATCATGTTATGTTTCCAAATTTCACAGTAAACACATGTACAGGTATAGAAAGGGGGAAGTGAAGTATGCCTTAAAGGAGCCTGCAAATTTGTAGTTATGTGTGGCAGGTTTACTCCCACACTCCTCAAAGTCGCTTAGTGCTGGGGAAAATTATATGGATCAGACCATGAAGGAGGTGTAATTCAACTAGTTGTAAGTCGACGTGTAATCACAATAGTTATGAATATATTTCATGAAGATTAAAGGTTACTTATTGTTGTTTTAAGAAACAGAAAGACCTGCAATGGGTCAAAGCTCTTTAAAACTTTATCTTGGGTGACTTCAGTTTTTCATTAAAGAATCCCATATTTGAGAGGCCTGATTGTTTCTTTAGCATAAAGTTTTTATTTTTCTTTCAGTGACTTTAAATAGATTGAAGGGCACATTTTTATTAGGCTTTTTTTCCTGTCTTTGGTTATATTGTTATTGAATTTTTCTCCTTATGTCAAATATATGTTGCATCACATGGTTTTAGAGGTTTCCTGTTGTGCTGCTATCATTATAGGGGTTTTTGTATGAAAAAGCTGCTGTCTTCTTCACTGTGCTACTTGCAGCTCCAAAATATTCTCCGCTGTCCTCAGGGTGAGTCAGGTTCAGAATGAGAAGATGAGCTGTGCTCTTTCCATCTCCAGTTATTTTGAAGCGGCCTTCAAATGGGTCTTCAATCTTTGCGTTTTGATGATATATGTGGCCTATGAGCTTTAGAGAGGTGTCTCCCAGTGAGCGCTGGTACCAGAGGATTACGTTATAAGATGAGATTTTGTGTGTGAAGTTCAGGTTTGCTTCACCCTCCGGTTTCATCAGAAGTTTGGCTGGAGACTGAAATACCTGATCTTCTTTACTGAGGTAAACTCCTGAAGACAAGTGAAGCAGCTGTTTAAACAATAATCATGTTGTACATAGTTTTTTAAGTTTGGATTTGTAAAAGGGAAAAATTGTAGGAATACCTTCAATCCAGCAAAGAGTGATGATGAGATGATGAAGCCTCATGATGTAACTGAGGAGTCAGTTGAAGTCTCTGCAGGGCTTTTTTGTGAATAAGGAGGAGGAGCAGGAAATGACTCAATTAATAGTTATGTAAATCTTAAATATACATAAAAGTATATATGTCACCTCAACCTTTTTTAAATTTAGTACATTACAGCTATTGTATTCCAGCTAGATTTTGTGTAATGCTGTAGAGCATAATAATGAACATCATGCGTGATTTTCATTATGAAAACAGAGGAAACCTAACTGTGTGGTGTGCATTTATAAAACCTGCATGACTCGTACTTTTTGCCATACCTGGATTCTCATTTCAGATTTAGAGGCCATTCAATCACATGAAAATGCTTTGATGTAAATATTTCTATCTAGCTTTATGCTTTTGGCATTTGCAAAATGAAAAGTCTCATGTCCATTACAGTCTCCAACTGTTTATATTTCGTTCAATCCATCTCCTATCAGCTCTAGCTTACTAGTCCATGCCAAGGATAACCTTGTATTTTAAGTTCCATATTTGCTAATTAGTTGGCTTCCCTTACTTTCACCAAGCACTCTGTTCCCCCAGGTGTTTTAAGTTCCCATGCATCTGATCTGAATCTAATTTTATTCTGCAAACTTCTCTCAGTTTACATTATATAGGATGGCTTGTTTTGATTGTTCATTGCTTGTTCCACTCTTGTTTTTCTGTGTTCCACTGTTCACCTCATGACATTTCTGCCGTTATTATTCAATTTCTAACCATACACATTCAAAGATCCTGTATGCAGTGTGGTTCACCCTTCAAACTATAAAACACTGGATCATTAT